CGCCTCCGGACCCCGCCGGTCGCCTGCGGCCCTCCTGCCAGCCGTCGAGGAGCCAGCTCGGCTTCCCCGGCCCCTCGGGCTCTCGGCCAGGCTAAAGGAAGGATTTGCCGGTTCTTGGGCCGGGCCCGCGGCGCTGGGCCGACCTTGACTTCTGCCGCAGGGAGTGTAGGGTGTGCCCTGGAAGCTGTAGCCGTTGGCGGGGGCGAAACCTGCCCCCCCCAGAGTGAGGTGCTGCCGTCTGACTTGGGCAACTCCTCGTTGTTTTAATATTTTAGGTTTTTAAATGGCCTGGGTATATATTTCTTGCTTTTCTGTACTCTGTAATTCAGCGGCGTTTGCGTGGACGAAATAGATTTTTGCACTAGGAATGTTATGAAAACATCCAGGAGTTGAATGAGTTTGATATGAGACGAGTGTTTAGAGATTAATTTGGTCTAAGTAGCACTAGCCTAAGCTTAATTTTCCTCTGTAGTTTGGGTCCCCAAATTACAGTGTCCACCCTAACACAAGGATCTGACGTAGTTGCTTCAAAAGTACTTCTTCCAGTGTAAAAACCCATTCTTACTGACGTGAAATGGGAAAATGCACCACAACTCAATGCAGAGTTCTCTGGCTTCGTATTTGGGAAGAATGCAAAGGGTGCTCCTGTGATTCTTGCTGCATAAGGAACATTTACATTGTGATTTCAGACTTGGTGTGTCTGTCAATGAGAGATAAAAGTGCAGATGCAAATATTAATTTAAAAACAGAAAGATGTATCTAGCAAATGAAGGCTGAAAATCTACTTAAAAGTCTTAAAAGCTACTTCAAGGTCTGTATAGTTGCTTATTTTAGTAAATAAGTTTTAAATAGGAAGCATGTTCCATACTTTTTTCTTAAGTTTTCTTTTTATTAGAAAACTGAGGAGGGTAACGTTGTTGTTTCCGTTTCAACAGTATATGTTCACATTTTCTGTATTTTTTTCCTCTTGAGAAAAAATAGTTTCTTCTGATTAGAAATCTAGTATACTAAATGCATGAAATAAGAGTTCCAGAGGGTATTTGTCTCCATGTAATTATATTCTTAAAATTGATATTTTTTAGTTTTTTCAAAAGCTTAAAAGTTTTGTAAGAACTAATTATGCAATATGGAATCAAAATACTCTTAAGAGGTAACATCTTTACAACTAATATGTTCTAGTGAGATAATTTTATACTATATAAACTGCACAGTAATCCTGTGATGTGATTTTTTTTTTTCCCTTCTATAATTTCTTTCTAATTTTAGTATCTGTTTCTTTTAGGAAGAAAATGAAAATCTTTTCTGAGTCTCATAAAACTGTTTTTGTTGTGGATCACTGCCCATATATGGCAGAATCCTGCAGACAACATGTTGAATTCGATATGTTAGTAAAGAATCGGACCCAAGGAATTATACCTCTAGCACCCATATCAAAATCGCTATGGACCTGTTCAGTGGAATCATCCATGGAGTACTGTAGAATAATGTATGATATTTTTCCTTTCAAAAAACTGGTAAGTTCTAGGCACACGGCGTATGATACTTGATAGTATAAAGGATGTTGTAATGAAGTGTTTTAATATCATTGGTGTTGGTTAGATTAAAAGATCATATATAATTTATTATATAAAAAATTCTTTGTGCTGTTGATATGCTTTATAGCTATTTAAATTGGTTTCAGTAGGCTATAACCATGGAAGTTAAGCCTGTGCCAGTGATATTGGCACAAAATAGTGATGGTGGAATACTGGCTGTGTCAGGCAGCAGCTGAGGCAGAGGCTGGGCACTAACAAATACTGGCGGTAGTTCAGTGATTTAATGCATGTCAGCCACACTGCCTCAATGGATCGCATGTCCTCGTTCTCAGACAACGAATGTTTAATTTAAACTCTGGTTTAGAGCATTTAATATACAGTCAAGTCCCATTATGGGGTTGTATCAAGTGTATGCTTAATGGATTTGAATCAGGTGGCTGAACTGGAGCTTGTGTGGTATGAGAAACCAAAATTAAGATAGAAGGTGTGCTTCCTGTTGACTTTTTTGTCATCTTTAGAACTTATTTTGCAATGTTGTTTATTAAATCTTGCTAGGTATTTGCCCCTGTGATCTACTGTGGCAGAATGATTTGCAATATTGCAGTATTAGAATTCACTTTATATCTCTTCTACTGAAAATATTACCTAATTGGTGTAGAGATTTAGTGGCTTAAAAATGTAAATAGTTAGAGTAAGAAGTTGTTAATCATAATGTTCCTAAAGGTGTAACTGAATATAGCTGAAGAGGATGCTTTTTTGTGGTTTTGTTGTCTCATTTTTAGTTTGGTTTGTCATTGAACATATCTCCAAAGTATCAGAAGAGGTGTAGTTCATGTTTGTCTGGATTTGGGGAAGTAGCCATAATGGTTGTTATCTTACATGTGCTTTTTTGATCCTTTCAGGTGAATTTCATTGTGAGTGATTCTGGGGCTCATGTCTTGAATTCTTGGACACAAGAAGATCAGAACTTGCAGGAGGTATGCTTTGTAACTGTTCTTTTGTAAGTCTAGTTTAATTGGAGTAAATAGCAGCTGCTTACTATGTTCAATCTGAAATAAATTTACTTAATTAAAATGTTGGTGCATCTGGTCTGAAATTATTGTGTAACAGAACTTTAAGTAGCCTGTGAGGCTGGACTATTCTATAGGCAGCCTCACATAATTTAAAAAGAATCCAGTATAGAGTTGCATATTAAAATAAACATTTTGAAGAAATAACCTATGTGTTTCTTCTGTAATTTGATACTTGAATTTTAAATTTAGTTTGTTTTTTTACATTTGCCTGACAGGCAAATAAACTGTTTAAAAAAAATATTGTAAATAGTCTCTTTGCACTTGTTTTGTTTCATACTGAATGTGCTGAATTTACTTTGAATTTACTTGGAGGAACTGAATTTCCAAATTCTCAGAAAATAAAAGCAGTTGGCAACTGATAATGTTACAATTTCTTTCAGGTATCGGATATAGCTTGTTATTATAGCCATGTATTTTTCTGTAATAAATGAGAATATAATATTCTCAAGGCTTAGTAACAATTAATAAATTAATTGCAAAGAGTAATTTAGGGCCAAATGTTTTCTAGAAGGCTGGCAACTTATAATGGTCTTCACTCTGGTTTTCTCTAAACAATATTAATTTGCATGTAAAATAAGTTACGATGATGAATTTTCTCTTAACTGATCATTTTAACAAATGCCTAGAAAGTAATTTTCAATAATGTATTTCTTTTTAACTAGTTGATGGCAGCATTAGCAGCTGTTGGGCCACCTAATCCTCGGGCAGATCCAGAGTGCTGCAGCATACTTCATGGTCTGGTTGCAGCAGTTGAAGCGCTCTGCAAAATAACAGAATACCAGCATGAGGCTCGAACCATGCTCATGGAGAATGCGGAACGTGTTGGAAACAGAGGAAGAATAATCTGTATTACTAATGCGAAAAGGTTTGTATTATAATCTGCTTCTACCATTTTAAAAAAGTTATTTCATGCTTTTTTAGACGTTTTTTTTATTGTCATGAATTAGTGCCCTAAGTAGATAGCTTTTTTGTTTTCTTTATTAAATCATTTCTTGCCTTATTAAAGGTTTCATTTATGGAGGTCTGTTAGAGTAACAAACCAGAAGTTTCCCACTTGAAATAGGAGAGCACTTAGTAGTATGTTGCTTTGAACAGGATTGATTATTCTGCACTAAAAAAAATCATAAAATTTCTTCCTAGTGACAGTCATGTTCGGATGCTTGAGGATTGTGTTCAGGAAACCATTCACGAGCATAACAAGCTTGCAGCTAATTCAGATCAGTGAGTATACTTTTTACAAAGGTAGTTTCTCTTATTCTGTGTGCACCTGTTGTATCCTCTATGAAATACAGATGTGTTTTTGTCACTTAAAACTTATTCTGATGAACTGTTTGAATGAATGCTGGTGTGAAATAGAATGTGCCAAATCATGATATTGTTAACTTAGAGCTGGTGTATAATAATTAGCTTTTCAGTATCATCCTTTATCCTTATAGGATGGTATTTCTTTAGGTTGCTACCTTCTACATCTTGCTCCAAAATGAGACACATAACTGTGCCTTGTTATATACTGTATATATGTAATCAGTAATGCATCTGATGCATTTTGTCTTGATAACACTGTATTAATTTTACATTCATCTTTCTTTGACTAAAACAGCTAACTACTTTGAAACTAGTTTTTAATTTCTAAATTATTATGTTGCCTGACACTTCCCTTGAGATAAAGGAATCTCTTGAAATACAGGTTACATCTCGTCTGAGATGTCATTTTTCTACCATGTGTTTTGTCTAATTATACAGTGAACTGTTTGGCCCAGGGACTATGTATTGCCTTAAAGTGTATAGTGGGTGGAGATCCTGTTCTTGGTTGCTCCTTAGGCACTTAAATATAGGACACTCCTGCTTCTGCTATTTACCTGCTGCAATTGCAGCTTTATGTATGTATAAGGGATACTGCCCCATTGAATTGGGTTCTACATCCACTCTAAAGACAGAAAAGTGGTCTCATTCCTGTAGGTAGAGATGTGCAACAATGTCTTGATCTCTCCAAATTTCCAACTGCATTAGGAGATAAGCATGCTATTTGGGTGGTTGTTGTCATGTTCACCGGAATCCCCTTAGTAATACCTGTGCACACCTGGGAGACACAAATCCGATGTAGTTTCAATTTTCAGTTGAATGAAGCTGAACAGATCACAGCAGGATCTATTCCATTGATAAGTCCAAAAAGAAACACAGTGCATCTGAAGACACTATAGCATCTGAAGAGCTAGAAATGTTATACTTTTTAAATATTCTGATTAAAAACTTATTTTGAAGTGCTTTTGAAAAACATGGATGTAACCTAGTTTCTACAGAATGCTTTCTGAAACATGTATGTTGTAATACATATTTATGATTCTGTGTTCTGGAGATCAGATGAATCTTGGGACAATTGATCTAATTTGTAGGAGATAGTCTGCAACACTGTAGGCTAAATAGAATGTTTTTATTTTTAAGTTTAATGCAGATTCAGAAATGTGAATTGGTCTTAATCCACACTTACCCAGTTGGTGAAGAAAGCCTTGTTTCAGATCGTCCTAAAAAAGAGGTAAGGAGCTTAAAATGAGAAAATCTATCCAAGGATTAGGAACCATGTCAGACTCAAAATAGACAGTGCAAATTAAGTATTCAGCAATAATGTTTTGAGCCTCTGGTAAGGTGTAGGAAAAAGTACAGGTGATAGTTCTTTGAAAAGTTGCCATCTAAAGTGTATGCTTTGTCTTTTTGTTCTGTAGTTTTTGTGCATATGTGGTATTGCCTGTTGTAATTTTGTTACTTAAATTTCTTTCATTAATAACTCTTGTTTCATTTTTTTGGTTAAGTAAGCCTGTTAATGCCATAGAATGATAGTCTTTGGTTTGGATTTTTTGAGAAGGAAATGCACATTTAGGAACGCAGTGTAAAACCATCAATTACATGGTGTGTTGAATAGGTTAACTGAGTAACTTTCACTGCTGTTCGAGCATAAGCTGCTAGTTAGCACAAGCCCTGTTTTCCCAAATACCTGTTACTGAGTGGTGTGGATATTGTTTAGCACTATGTGTTCCATGTTATCCAGACTAACATGTTAGCATTTTTTAGCCTTTTGGTTGAATGGTTTTCTCATGAAACCAAAATGAGCTTTTGTGTATACATTTTGTTGTTCCAGTGTTAGCAGACAGATGCCTTTTAATGAAAAGCCTTGGAAGGCATATCTGCTTCCAAGTAAAAGGGTAATGTATTGTAGGAATGTAGAATATGCTTGAAGTTCATCAAATACTCAAAGTACCCTACAGGTACTTCTAAAGATTATTTTATGAAAAGGTGAAGGGATGCATTGAAGTAATTGCTCTATATATTAATATCTCAGTTGTTTGGTAACAAGCACATATGCTCTTTGGACTTGTATGCTTAGTGGTTGTTTGAAACAAAGTATGTACAAAATATTTTATTAATGTAGTCTACTCTTCATCAGTCATCTCTGCTCAGTATTTTAATGTGCTGTCTGTAAGAAAAAGCCATGAGAAAAAGTCTTAACATGAAAGGCATGTAGTCCTGCATACTATTTCATGAATAAGGAGGACTGTAATAGCTACCTTCCTGAGATTCTTTTCTACAAAACCCTTTTGTAGTTTTGCTGAAAAATAAAGTATGAACAGAATAGAATAAATTGACTACTCTGAAGACAGTCTTTATCATTTTTTGTTTTTTTCAAAAGCCTAAAACCAATGTCCTTGTTAGCTAGGGAAAAATCAAAGGCATCTTATGGCTTGTGTTTGTTTCCCTTGTGTATATATGATGCGTTTACAAGTAGGTATATAAAAATTACTTTGTTCCTGTTATTCAGCAGGTAAAAGAGTGAAAAATGAGCCCCAGAGCTGCTATTAAGAGGATTTCTTCCCCTTGTTGTGATACTAACTCTTCCTATTAACAATTAATGACTCAAGTTTTTTAGCACACTTCTAATTTTTTGACAGTTTGTAGCAGCTGCAACCATAATAACTGGCATAACCTGCAAAATACTGAGTGAGAAATAATTTTTGCTTCTTCCTTCTTAGTTTCCCACTGTGTGGGTTTTTTGGGTGGTTATTTTCCCTCAAATTTAGCAGTATAAATGTCTTTGTTTTAGTGTTTCAAATGAATAATACTGTTACATGATACTAGAGTCTAATCCATTAATACTATATACTCTATGTCAATTTATTTTAGCTTTCACCTGTTTTAACCAGTGAAGTGCACAGTGTCCGTGCGGGACGGCATTTGGCTACAAAACTGAATGTTTTAGTACAACAGCACTTTGATCTGGCTTCAACCACAATAACTAACATTCCTATGAAGGTAATGTTGTGTGTATAGCTTTGCGATAACTAGCTGCATCACTTCTAAATTTGTTTGAAAACTTTTACTGTTTATTTTAATTGAATTTTTACATTGTTTTTCTCTCCATGTCATATTTTCTGTTTTGTTTCTTTATTAGCCCACATTCAATGTCTGTGACCAGGTTAGTAAAAATAAAGGGGGAAAAAAGTAAAGAAGGATCACAGTACAAAATGTTGTATTGCTGAATCTCAATTTTTGATGTCGCAATACAAGTGTTGTTTCAGTTCTGTTTGTATTTTATGTAAATACAATCTTATTTACCTCAGATTACTTTGTCTGTGATTCTTTTGTCTTTTTCTAGTTGTGTTAGATATTCTTGACCCTTGTGCATTATAGTGGCATAGTGAGTCTCTTTTTCCTCTGTTTCATTACCATGCCCACCCAACATAAAGGTGTTTGTAACTAGTAGCCCATTTTTGACTAAAGGTTTTCCAGTAGGTTTTCCAGTTTGAAGATCCATAAGCCAGAAACAGGGGTGTGGGAGATACATCTAGTTAAGATAGATATTAAACATCTTCTGTTCAAAGTTGTCCCTATTTTTAATATTTTTTTATCACTACTGGCAGGAAATCAGTGCAACTAAGAATTTCAAGTATTAAGTTTACAGTAATTTTCTGATCAGGCAGCAAGAGACAACTGAAACAGAAGTGTCAGTCTTCAAACCAAACAAATATGGCAGGGGCAGATAACCCTTCTTGATTTAAAAAATTCATCAAGTTCTAATACTGTCAATCATTACTTGTATCTTTGAAAACTGTCAATATTGTATGGATTTTATAAGTTAAAATATGAAACTAGAATATTTTCACAGCTTTAATGAAACTTAGACATGGGTCATGGCATAAATGTTACTTAAGTTTGCAAATACCTTGTCTGTAACTTTCTGACCTGTGTGCTGCTGGTATGCCTTTCCCTTCTGCCTTTGTCCTTATAGTAATAGACTATGTTGGGTTCTCTGTGGTTTTTTGGATGTTTTTTTACTTGGAATAAATTACCAAGGTTACTGTTCTGTTTTTGCTAGTCCTCTGCAGCTGTTCAAAGATGCAGTGTCCTCTTTACAAACATCAATTTTTTTAATTATAAACTTGCAGTTGCAAGTACACTTCTTGTATATCTTAAGTGCAAGGAAATTATAATTTCAAAGTGTGTTTTTTGGTTTGGATTCTTGAAATTTTTAGTTATAGAAAGTAATTGCTGATCTAGTCTGCAGTGACTATTTGTTGCTGCTTAGCAAGTTTAAATGCTGGTGGTATTCAATATGTTGTAGGCTTCCTTAACTTCACTAATTTAAACAAGTAGTTAAGCATAGTTTTACCTATATTTTACACTATGCACCCTGTCATGACATTTGCATAAAAAGGAAACCATAGGGTTTCAAAAAAGGAAAAAGAGGAAAAGCAGCTGCATCTTTAAACAGGTCAGAGAGCAAACACTTTCCTCAACATTGCTAATCCTGTTGTTGTCTGAAGCCCTTTGGAGACTTTTTGTTTTCTTCTGGAGTTAAAGGTAAATGTAGAACCATTCATTTATGAAAACAATGACCTCTAGCTGAAAGAATTATATTTATTCTTTCTACCTTTCTCTTTTTAAAGGAAGAACAACATGCTAACACATCAGCCAACTATGATGTGGAGCTTCTTCATCACAAAGAGGCACATGTTGACTTCTTAAAGAGTGGTAAGTAGAAATAGTCCTCTAAAGATGACTTTTGATCAGCCTACCAGAAATATTCAAAAAGAAAGATTGCGAGCTTCAAATTGATGTAAATTTCAGGAATGGTTAGTGTATTTTTAGTCATTCCTTACAATCCAAGAACTTGATTTGTAATGTTGGCATTGGAGTTCTAGTCATTACTGGCATATTTTAATGTAGTAATAAGGATATAACAATGAAAAAACAGGTCAAATTCATCAGACAGTTTCACATGTTCAGGATTTGTGTGAGATTTGAGGGGCATGTCCACTTATTCAGATATAAAAAGTGGATGAGACCAGCTGTGCAGTGAGTTTGTGAAAGAAAGTACCTCTTGTGGGTATTTGTGGAAAATTATTCCTTGCACAATTGAACTTTAAATCTGGCTGCTAAATAACAATAGTTGATGACATTTACATCCCATAGGCCTGTTTATGACAGTAATTGCTTTGGAAAAGACAATAGTTATTTGGCTTTTGAACTTTCTTGTATTTGAAATACCTAATATCCTTTTTGTAAATTTGGAATTATTACCTAGTATTCCTCTCAGGTGACTTTTTAATGACTCAAATGAGGTTAGAAAAACACAACAGTAAGCCTTACGCAAAACTATTTTGTTCAGGAAAGAGTGCTTGATGTAAAATTCTGGTAAGTCAGGCTAAAAATTATGTATTCGTAGAATTCAAAGCAAAGCCAAGCAGTGAAAAAACTCTTAGCCTGTGCTGGTGTGTTATGGAATACTTAGACTGTATGCCTCTTCAGTGCTGAAGTCTCATTTGAAGCTTTTAAAGGCTTGTGTATGTTTTGTTTTCTCTTACTGCATTGGCTGTAACTTCTGTTATATGATTCAGTACCATTAAAAGCTTAGTCTGATTTACTATGTGTGCAGAATACCTGTATTTAGATACAGGCTATAGATACTTGTTTTACTATCTGAAACTATATTACATAGCTTTAAAGCATATTAGAAAGTTGGTTGTGGTTTAACTTCTTAGAAGTGAAGAATTTGACAAATGAGTTATTTTTGTCAGTTATTTAATAAAGAGTGGATATTTCTTTTCTGAAGTTTGGAATCATGTGGTCCATAAGTAGCCATTTTAGGGAATTTGTGCTGCTTTTTTCTCTTAAGGTGTTTACCATTACTTTGAGGAAAAGGAGCTAACTCCTCATTATCATCTAGAAGTACTGTGCTCCCTATTTTAATGGAGTGTATGATAAAAGATTGAGGAAAAAGAATAGGATGTTACAGTAACGAATTCAGACTTAACTGAACTTGTGTTACTGTGTTGAAAGCATGAAACTTTATTGGAAGGACTTAGAAATAGTTTTCTAACACCTATTGGCTCAAGGAATAAGTCTGCTAGTAAAAACCAAAAGCAAACTCCAACTGCAATTCCTCTTCAAATTTTTTCCATCAGAACTTTGAGAGGAAAGTCTGTTCTTAAATCCTGGAAATTTTGGTTTCTTTTTTTAACTAAATCTTTCAGCTGTAATAGCTCTGCTGCTAGGAAAACAGGAATTCAGTTACATTGATCTTACTTCTGCAAAATGTTGCTAGAGAATTTTTAGATGAAGTAAGTTTGGCCCTTTAGATATTCTGAGAGATTTTCTAAAAGGATTCTGGTTATTTTAATTTAATGGAAAAATCAACGTTTGCAAGTTACCTGCATGATTAATAAGCAAGTCAAACAAGTCTCTTGAGTAAATGTCTTGTGGAATAAAAGAAAAATTATATGAAAGATTAGACCAAACCCTAATATATTACATACAATGTTGCATGTTGATGTATGTCTCATTCCTCCCAATTATTGTGGATTTGAGCATATTAAGTGACTGTGCTACTGTGATTCTGAAACTTCACGCAAAACTCAGTTAATTCTTTCCTGAGATAATGTGAGTCAAACATTGTGGAGAATTGCAAAACTCACTAGTAGAAATGTAATTAGATGTATTAAAGGGGTATTGTTACTGTCTGTTTTAAAGGCCTTCAGGTGGTTTTTGCCAGACCAGTTATCAGTGAGAATTTGTATAGAAGTATTCTAATAATAAAACATCTATGGCCAGTAAACCATGTTGAGAGATGATCAGTTTGAATCTGACATAGCAAAGATACTGGATGATGAGACCAAAATACTTCTTTCCCCCAAAAGCCCAACTTGTCAAATGTGCCTTTAGATCAGTTTCAATTTTGACCTTGGGATAGAATATGTGCAATATATGATCAGCTCTAAAATTTGTTCAGGGTTCTGATTTCTGTGTGGAAAATTAAAAAAGATATTGTCTTATAGTCCTAAGCATTTTAGAAGGAAAAAATTGCCTATTATAGATAAAACATATCTAGAATTTTCTAAATGTTGAATAGAATCTATGGAATGTACTCTGGAGCTGCAGTATTTTGTTCACTGACTTGTCTTTTAAAATATATGCAAGGGCTGCTGATTTTAAAATATTAATTTTCAACTGCCACTGCTAATAACTTTTTTGCTTCAGTTAGATATCTAACTTTTAAAAAAATTAGTTTACATTTTTGTATATGCTTATGTAATGAATATTTTGTACCTTAAGTTTGGAGGTTTTTGCTGTAACAGAAAATATAGTTGATCACACACTTTTTCTGACTTTATACTGCAGGTGATAATCATATAGGCAGCAATAGCAGAGAAGGCACGTTTAAAGAAACTGTAACGTTAAAATGGTGTACTCCTCGAACAAATAGTGTGGGTAGGTAACATGGTATCTTACAAAACTGATATTCTAACTTGTGTTGAACACAGTTCTCTATATGCTGATGAGAATCTGAACAAGGAGAGAATTCACTTCTTGTTAATGCTGGTTTTACCTTTTGCTCTATAAACTTTGCTGCTGACTGCACCTTGCTTTACCAATGGTCATACGATGCTCTCCTGATCTTGGCTAATCAGTGGTGTTTGTAAGAGGGGTAGTAATGTTTTTCTTTGTGGCTTTTTTCAGTCTCTTAAGTATCATGCAGTTCTTCCTCGACTGCAATGTTCAGTAATTATTTGTCCCTCCCATAGTGCCAAGTATGCCTTGTCAGTTCCACAGTGGTGTTTTCTTAACATAGCAGGTTTGAGATGTTGACTCTTTTTTTTTGGTTTTAATTCTTGGTTTGGGGGGGGTGGGGATAGTATCAAAGTACTATCTTCAGTGTAATCTTTAGAATGCTAAGTAAAAAGCTTTGTAAGGAAACTAAATGTATGCAGTGATACTATCAGACTAGTCCCTCTGTATTAACTTCCAAATCTGAGTAAGGGAGTGATCTCTGCCCAAATCTGAGTAAAGCTGAAAGACAGGGAAGATTGGAGGTAACATAGGAACCACTTGGCCATTCAGTTCATGCACCCTGTAGACTATCAGCAAGATGTATTGACTTTTTGAGCCAGCAGGTCAAAAACATAGAGAAATGAGGCTGAATCTACAGTGAAATAACTCAGGAGATAAAGAACTGGAGGTCCTGCTGGAAATAGGGCTTGGGAATGTATTAGGCTCTCAGAGTTGAGGGTACTGGAATGATTGTGAGGAGATGATGAAAGGAGCCGTCTTTTAGATCAAGGGACAGGTAGACTTTCTAGTTCTGATGATTGTGGAATAGCTCCTCTCCTTTGTTTTCTTTTGTGGGATGTTTTTTCTGTGTGGAACTACGCTCTCAATTTTCTTACTTATTTTTCAGAATTACACTACTGCACTGGAGCATACAGAATTTCACCAGTAGATGTAAATAGCAGACCTTCTTCATGCCTTACTAACTTTCTCCTTAATGGTAAATTTGTGTCCTTGGCCAGTTATTTAATGTTTTAATTGTTAATATTATGAATAGAGCACTTACCACCGTTAGGTTTGTATAGCAGTAAATGTCTATATACTGTAAAAATGTCTAGTTTATTTTAACATTTTGTACAAATAAGAGAAGAAAGTTGTTAAATGTACTCAAAGGCAAATGGAATGGGTTTTGAAACTTGAAGATGGGAGGAAAGATGTGAAGAATGGACAAGTATTGAATTCTGGTAGTTCTTTTATGAATCCAAATGTAGAATACTTTTCACTTTATGCTACTTAGTAGGAAACACTACTTTCAGTACGTGATAGTGCACTTGATCACAATGCTTACTCTTAACTATTGCAAAATATTAGCACCTTATCTCTATGCCTGATTTTTAGCAGATGCTGGGTAGCCTCAGAAAGCTCTCAACTGGGTTATGTATACAATATAATCTGTAATAATTAAAATAACAAACTGTCCTTACATAACATACCATATTAATGTCTTATAGGTATTTTTCTGAAGAAGAATGTCCTACAGAGAAAGTGATTGGTTGGTCTGGGGGAGAGACTTTTTGATCTTTCTCTGTTAAATTTAAGAGTGTATGACAGTATGTTCTGTGTAAATACATATGGGGTAAATACTCAAAGGAGATAGCTGTTTCTCATTCAGCTAGGTGAAAACACAACTTTAATGGATTCAGGGTCTTACTGGCTAGGTACAAACCTGTATTGTGTATATGTAGTTTTTAATTTAAAATTGCAGCATGCAGGAACTAATGAAACTGATCTCACTTCCAACAGGTCGTTCTGTTTTGTTGGAACAGCCACGCAAATCTGGCTCTAAAGTAATTAGTCACATGCTCAGCAGCCATGGAGGAGAAATTTTTCTGCATGTATTGAGCAGCTCGCGATCAATTCTAGAAGATCCCCCATCAATTAGCGAAGGGTGTGGTGGAAGAGTCACTGACTACCGGATTACAGTAAGATTCTTTTTTTTAGGTTGTTGCTTATCTTGGATGACAAGTGATGTAGTGCAGTAGATGTGTGAAGGAAGTGTTGGTATGTTTTCTGGAGAGCTGGAATGGATTGCATGGTCAAACTCATTTTCTTTGTACTACTGTTACATATTTGGTACAAATGATACATATTTAGTAAACGGTAGTACATCTGCTTATTGTTATACCTGCTTCATAGAATCCTTTCCATGTCAAGGAAGTACTTGCTTCTATGCACTATAAGTATTTAAAGTTTGTTCTGATTTAAGAATAACATTTTTCTTGGCAAGTTTTTTCTGTGGGCTGGATACATCATAGGACTATCCTGCTTATTTTGCTTATAACTTATTGTAGACAATAAGTTATCCATGGGACAGCAATGTGCCCTGGTGGCCAAGAGGGTCAATGGTATCCTGGGGTGCATTAAGAAGAGTGTGACCAACAGGTCAAGAGCAGTTATCCTCCCCCTCTACTCTGCACTGGTGATGTCTCATCTGGAGTATTGTGCCCAGTTCTGGGCTCCCCAGTTCAAGAGAGACAGGGAACTTTTGGAGAGAGTCCAACGGAGGACTACTAGGATGACTAAGGGACTGGAACATCTCTCGTATGAGGAAAGGCTGAGAGACCTGGGGCTGTTTAGTCTGGAGAAGAGAAGGCTGAGAGGGGACCTTATCAATGTCTATAAATATGGGAAGGGTGGCTGTCAGGAGGATGGAGCCAGTCTCTTTTCAGTAGAGCCCAGCAATAGGACGAGGGACAATGGGCACAAACTGCAGCACAGGAAGTTCCACCTCAACATGAAGAAAAACTTCTTTACTGTGAGGGTGACTGCATGCTGGAAGAGGCTGCCCAGAAAGGTTGTGGAGTCTCCTCTGGAGACCTTCAAAACCCGACTGGATGCATTCCTGTGCAACCTGCCCTAGGTGATCCTGCCTTGGCAGGGGGGTTGGACCAAGTGATCTTCAAAGGTCCCTTCCAGCCCTTACCATTCTGTGATTCAGATTCTGTGATTTTTCAGAAGGATGGATTGTGTGTGAGTGGTTGGTACAATAAATGGAAAAAATGAAGTTGCTGGTTTTGAACCCTGGATAGGGAGCAGACAATCAGCTGTCACTCATTTTGGGGTTTTTCCTTTATTTTTTTAACACATGTTTTATATCTGTTCTAAACAAGTTAGAAGTGGCTTCCAGAAAAATGTAACAAATCTCTTACCATACATGAAATACCTTGCAGATGCAGAAGACTTCCTCATCAAACACCTTGCATCAGTTTTTGACCCATATTTTTATACAACTATTTTTGTGTTCACCCCAAGTTACGTACATCTGAAAGCTAGAAACAGGGCTCTGGTTGTTAGGGTCAAGTTTAGTGGTGGGGGTGGTACATGGTTAGTGATAAGCAAAACTATGCTGTTTTGCCCATTCAGTGAAAGTTACTGTGTTAGAGAAATGCCTAATTGTATCTTGTTTGGTTACCATTAGGATTTTGGTGAATTTATGAGGGAAAACCGATTAACTCCTTTTCTAGAGCCCAGATATAAGATCGATGGAAGTCTTCAAATTCCATTGGAACGTGCAAAAGATCAGTTAGAGAAACATACTCGTTACTGGCCTATGATTATTTCTCAGACTACCATCTTCAACATGCAAGCTGTAAGTAACCTGGGGTTTGTAACTTTTTATTCTGTTCTAGATTAAGTTTCACCTTGCCACTTGATGAAATATTAACTCTATTTTATGATAATCTCCTGCCACAATCAGTTTATTTTCAGCTTTATTTTCACTTGAATACTCTGTATTTAATGTCAATAGATTATTGGAATGCCATCTAAATAGGGTGGAGTATTTGAACGTGATAGTTACATTGCTGATGGGTAAAGTAGTTTTACTCGCCTGTGAGTTTTGTTTTTAGAGCACTGACCTTGAGCTTAATGTGATATCATCTGAGCTCTGTACTAAACGTGCATCTGCTTATACCTGCTCAGAGTTACTACTAAATTGAGGATAAGAGGGTGTGTGTTTTGTTGAGTTGTTCCATGGTTCCATTGCCTTTGATTTCTTTTTTTCCTGTTTGTCTCCTGTGGCATACACAGATTTTCTTGTTGTTGACTTTTGTGTTACAGGTAGTGCCATTAGCCAGTGTGATTGTAAAAGAAGCAATGACTGATGAGGATGTTCTGAACTGTCAAAAAACAATATACAATTTGGTAGACATGGAGAGGAAGAATGATCCGCTGCCAATTTCAACAGTTGGTACCAGAGGAAAGGGTCCAAAAAGGTTACATGCATATCTCTTTTTGTGGATGCTGGACTTTTTTCAGAAATATTCTATTGGCATGTTTTAATACCAAATTTTTAAAATTTGGCCAAAGGTAATACGTAGCAAACTAAATGCTGTGTGTAAGCAAAACAAATGCTGTGAATAGTTTGCCTGCATCATTTAGGGGCTATCACAGTACTGATATTGCTATATGTTAGGAAGAAAATACATCGTTGTATTACCCAAGAGTTGTGAGTGTTAAAAAATATGAAAGTGAAGACAGTCATCAAGAAAGGGAAGAGATTGATACAAGCTAGGACAGAAAGTGGAATAATTTACAATTACTAAAAAGGAAAACAAGCATATTACAAATAAACAATGCTTTAAAATTGGGTTATATTAGAATAGTCAAATGTTTTGAAATAGTTACTTAAAATATGTTGAAAACAAACATAGAATATCCTGGTATCTGTCATTGTGATGTATGCATTGTATTTCCTAGAACTGACTGAAAAGAAATGCAACTACAGATGATTTGCCCATGACTGAAAGTTATTTACAGTACTGTGGTACAATTCTTTCTAAATTTTTTAATCCAAATAATTAAATAATTAATTTGCATGTCAGTACATGAGTGGCCCTCTGCATATCCTGGCATTGCTTAGTTAGCAAACACCTGAGAGGATTCAGAAGTGCCTTTTGGCAGTGAGATCTTGTGGAAATTAAGGATTTTATTTCAGTGGGTATAGTCTGTTTCAACTGAAACTTAACTCTTGATGTTAACTGGGAAATGTTATGTGCAATGTGGTTTCAAATTTCAAGGATGGGGTAATCCCAGGTGGATAGACCTCCAATACAAGAGGACAAGACAATTGTTGGGAGTTATTTTTGGGTCAGGGTGGGGGTTGTTTCTTAAGGTCTGTTTTTTAACCTTAATTTATTCAATGGTTTAATGATCTAGGTAATCCTGTATGTAATACCCTTTTTCTGGCCTTGCTTAGAGATGAACAGTACCGGATTATGTGGAACGAATTGGAGACCCTTGTACGAGCACACATAAACAACTCTGATAAACACCAGCGCGTCTTAGAATGTTTGATGGCTTGCAGAAGCAAACCCCCAGAAGAAGAGGAGCGCAAGAAACGAGGTAGAAAGAGAGAAGACAAAGAAGACAAGTCAGAGAAGTTGGGCAAAGACTATGAATCGGATAAGCCATGGCAAGAATCAGAAAGGTAAGTTTTCTAAAGTGAAATAAGTGTAGCATAATAACTTTTGTCCTGCCCTGCTTCAAAGGGGAGAGGAATTGACATGAAACAGTTGCAGGTTTCAGTTTGATGTGTTCGTGCTTGTAGACTTGGCTTACTACCAGTGAGTGTGAATCCCAAGGGTTTTTGGATCAGTCACCATTACCAAGCTTGGGAAATGGGCATCTGATTACACTGCCTGCTTATCAGACTTTTTCAAATTAAAATACTTTACAAGAAGTATGTTTCTAGGACAAGTTGTTGACCACTTAGCGGGGCTTTGCAGCTTGAGGAGTTGCTGCTGTTGGATTTTATTGTAACCACACCACCTATTAGATGTTAAAATGTGTTACAGAAATAGAAAGCATGACTAAAAACTTAGGCAGTTATTTTTCTCTCAAGCTGTAGATAGTTTAGTGTTCAGGTAGATAAACAATCCAAATTGACTTGGCTCTTTAGTTGAATGTCAGGATTGATTGTCCAAATACCTGCTCTCTATAATTCATGTTATTGTAAATTGTCTAAGTGGTAAGCATCTGTCAGTCTCTTTCAAACTACTATTCTAAAGAGATCAAAAACCCCCCATGGTATTAAGCTTAATTTGCATATGTTTTGTGCATGCTATGACTGTTCAGGGTAGGAGGACCTTTACACCTACATTATTCTCACCATGTTGATGACCTTTCTTGCCTTTCTATGTGTGATCAAATCCATTCCTACAATTGCTTTTACTTTCACATGTGGAACAAAAATGGGGACTAAGATAAAAGGGATTTGGTATAGAATAGGTCTGAATTCACATAGAAAAGGTAATAGGAAACTGTGTGGTATTTTTGTGTATTCATTGTTACTCAGTCTTTCCTTCAAAATTCAGAATGATAAACTGTCTCAACTACAATATAAATACTACTAAGTGAAATATTATTTTTAAGGTCCTTCCCTTTACTTAAGGCTTTATCTAGAGGACTATTTGGCCAGTCTTCCCTATTGGTTTTCACTCATTCCAAAGGGTCAAAAGAAACTTTATCATATGGGTTGTGTATAACTTTGACGAGTACAGAATGGTGTCAAGAATCATATGTGCTGCTCTAGCATGTTTTGCTTCACTGTTTTCCTTCCCTCTCAAAGGTTAAAAGGTCTTTTGGATCGTGAAAAAGAAGATCTAGCAGAAGCTGAAGTTATTAAAGATTCTCCTGATTCTCCTGAGCCACCCAACAAAAAGCCTCTTATTACAATGGATGAAATGCCCACAGTTGAAAAGGCAAAAGGTAAACCAGAAGAATTGCAACCAATTATTTCTTTTAAAGATAGAAGTTGTTGTATCAGTCTGTATTTTCTAAAGTAATGAGATGAATCTTCTTGGAGTTAAAGCTAAGTCAGTGAGGATTAATTAAACACTCAATGTTGAGAAATTCTTGATAAATGTGTTAACGTCAACAAGTCTATGTAGAAAGAAGGGTATCAATATACTGTGTGGGTCTGATAGGCAGTTGGGTTGACAAGGGGGTTGGACAAATTTCTGCTGGTGGTATTTGAGCTATTGTATGTCAGAAATGCTATTTAAGGACAAGTATCAGAAGTCATTGTCTCCTGCTGACTAATAAATATAAACATGTCTAAGCAGTATAGTTGTTGGATGGAATAGGCAGTTCTCACTGACTTCTCTTCCTTAGTGTGAGCTGTTATCTGTTGCAGTGGCTGAGCTGATGTTCAGATGCTGCATTTGAAGCAGTCAGTCTCATGAAGCAACTACTCAGCTGTTACCACTTTGCATATTTTGTAGTTATTTAGTCTCTAAAGTTGTTTAATGTTAGTGGGTTTAATATGTTGTACTAACATAGTCTGTAATTTCTTCTAAGCCTTTATAATGTAATGTTTAAGAATTCCAAAATTAAATCACATAGACTCTTTCTACTTGCAATTTTAGGGCCAATGTCCTTGCTGTCTTTATGGAGTAACAGGATTAATACTGCCAACTCTAGGAAACACCAGGAATTTATTGGTCGTTTGAACTCTGTCAACAATAAAGCTGAGCTATATCAACATCTGAAAGAAGAAAATGGGTTTGTATCAGCAAATGCATCACTACAAATGTCTTAGCAGTAGTCAGTATGCTGTATGGAGAAATACTTCAGTTACAGCATTAAAAAGAGTCTTGCTCTCTTGAGGATTAAATATATAAATACATTCCTTTGTGTCTCTGTATTGATGGAGAACTACAGTAGTGTTTGATTTTCAGTTCTTTGTGCTGAGCAAGGCTGAATGCTGATAAATAGTCTTCCTTGTGCCTTAGTGACTGCCCTTGCAGCAAAACTCTTAAACTTCAGGGGGTTAAATGATAGCTAAGTTGAGATTTCTTGTGCCAATCTGTTGCTTGCTTTAGCTTCCAAAGGAATGGCTAATTTTAAAATACTGTTGATAATAGGGTGGTTGAATCATAAGATTCAACTGTGTATTCCTAATGAAGGAAGGTGTATACTTTCCCAAGTAAGGGTGACTGCCTGAGTTTGATCTGCTCTTGAGCATTAGAGAAGACATAGTGCCTAGCAGTTTTTTCTCTAGACTATCTTAAATAAAATGTTTAATAAGTGACAAACATTATGTGCACCTTTCTCTTCATGGATATTAGAATTATTATGAGTAAGTATGCATTTTTAAAGATACTAATATGCACATTTACAGCTGTGCTGTAATGAGGTTGATAGTCCATGTTTTACCAAAAAATACTGAAAAACCAAACCAACCTTCTCTTAAGATGGTGGCAGGCAATGATCAGCGTAAAAAGGGTGAAAATGAAGACCTTGAAACAAATTGCTAAAGCTCAAATTTTAGAAGTAGATTCTCTAGTCACATGAACGTAGGCTTTTGTCTTTTGGTGAGGTTGATAATGGGTAGCTTTTTTGCAGTTGTTGCTGGAAAGTTTCTTTGCAGAAACCTTCCCTTTATGTACTGATTGCTGCTTAAAGTATTAAGAGGAGATAAGATTGTGTATGTTGTGGGCAGGGAGAGACAGGATGACTAATGAAGTTAGAAATATTTATTAAAATACTTAACTATGAATTTTTTTCTTAATCTGATTGTATTTCCAATAACAAGCCTTACGGTTTGTTGTCTTGCATTTCAGAATGGAAACGACGGAAAATGGAAAAGCAGGCCGGCAGTGATGACTTATTTTTATTTCTTTGGACAAAACTTGGCTGAATTGCAAAAATACTTAATGCTGGAATTGATATTGGTACCATTTCAGTACAACTGTATAGCTCTAGTTTGACTGGTTTTTACATTTTTCTATTATTATTTTTGCTATGAAATATGAAATCCACATATCACATTAAATGAATAGTGTGCAAATAGGAGCTGTCCTGAAGTATTTTAGTCATGTTTTTAGGATGAAGAAAACCTGTGCTGCCATGGACTAAAATGAAGTAATCAAAAATGTTAGTCAGTTTAAAGTCTTTTCCCGTAAGAGTTGTTTGTTTAGTATTTCAAAATCAGTGATGACTGTTTAAAAAAAAAATCAAGTAATTGATAATTATCTGATAATATTGTTAAATTTGGCTCGTGAATACTTTTATTTATATGAAACTTCCTCAGGAGTCCAGAATTATGGAAAAGACTGCACACTGAGTACCTACCTAGTCACTGACCTGAGAAAATGCCAGTCTTGGTTTTCAACTAAGGGGTGGGAGTGAGAGTGGTTTTACAGATAAAATTGTTGGTTTAAGGACTTTTAAAAACTGACTAGAAATGATCTTTAGAAAGCAAGCTGTTCAGGTGGTTGTGCTGGAGTTAAGTCTTTGTAAGCAAAAGTAAAATAAAATTTTTGCTAATGATTAAAATTTTTTTATGAAATACACCCTCTAAGACACCTGTGGTTTTAGGTCTAAGCTTTTTGAACATCATGGGGTAGGCGTATTCTGAATATTAATGGCTGTGAAATGACAAAGTAGATGATCTGTCTTCAGTTTCTTTGAGTAGAGCTTCTTTTTCTCTTGATGGAGAGTGGAATTCTCAAATGGGAAAACTCTCTCACCCAATGTCTGTGATCTTCATCCCATCAAGATGTTGGCTTGGCTTCCAAATGGGTCAATGTGAGTGGGCTAAGGAAAAATGAATAGGTGAGCACGCTGAGTTTATCAGCCTTCCTTTGATCTGCATCCATTGCCTTATTCTAGCTTATATAAGCAACTGAAGGTCTCACAGATTTGATATTTTAATAGTTTAAGTTGATTTAAGACATACATTTGTGAGCTTTTATAAAACTAAACTAGTGTATTCATAGTTTTTTCACCTGAAACTAAATACAATAGTTCATGATGACTAGATCTGAACACAAGTATCATGCAAGTATTTTTTGCTTACATAGGTAGCTGAGTCCTTTCTTCAACTGTGTTAAAGTGTCATGTATAGTTTCAAGGTGATTATGTAGCCACTGTGGTGCAGATGTGTTTTCTGTTAAATGATTTTTAGAACCATTTTTAGAGTGGTTAAAGAGTACTTGCATGATAATATCTTTTATCATATTCTAAAACTTACGTAGCTTTTACAGAAGCAATGTGTAATTTTTGGAGGTCCAAAAGACTTATTTTCACTACTTAATTGAAAATAGGATGTCCTGCATTATCACATCTCTTGATTTCCTATCTGAAATGTTCTGATGGAGGAATTTCATAAGTTTCTGTTTTTTCAATGAGATTGTACAGCATATCAGTCTGGATATTTCTCTTTAAAGGGGTTTTAAAGTCTGGAACCTAGAGGGTATGTACATGTCAGCTTTCTGCAATTTGTTGCTAGTCTAGAGAAGTATAACTGAAAAGCTGATCCTGTGCCTTGGAGAATTGTGTGTATTGCATCTCCTGATGTGCCATTAATATTCAGCTGCAGTCCTTAAATATGCACAGGAATTAAATACTTCATTAGAGGAAAAGAAAAATTCTGCACCTGCTATTAAAATATGTATTTATCTTGTTTACTAATGTTTTCTACTTTGGGAACATCTGCTGGGTAAGACTTAAGTGATTAAATGAACAGGGCCCCATTCTCCAAGGTGGTTGATGGTGGGCCTGTGTATTCTAAGTACTTGAAGAGTCTTACTGAGACAGATACTACAGGGGCTGATGTTTCCTGCAGTAATCATTTTAGATTTTTATTTTACCAATCTTATATAAGTCTAGACAGCAAATTACTGCTGCATTGCCTTCTACATCAAACTTTAGAGCTGGTTTATAGCCAGATGGCTTCTGGAAAGCATTGAAGTAGTCATCTAGAGAAGTTGTATTTATCCAAAAAGTTACTCAACACTGTAAACACAGACAAGTGTTACTCATTCAGGCAAGATGATGTAAATCCTGTCACTACTATTCTTATTCAGAGCAATGGCTGTCCCAAAAAAGGAACATAACGTGTTATCAACGTTTTCATATGCACAGCTGACTAGTGCATGGTGTTCATCTGCTCCCACAAATATGTTGTAACTAGAGGTGGATTGTACATGTGCAATGTACACACGAATAATTTAATCTGTTCAGATACTTTGGTTCTGTAGCTCTTGGTACACTTGTGGCTAGGGAGCTGTTTGAATTCTCTTTGTGTGCCATGACTACTGGTTGAGCTGTACTATTGCTGGGATTGCTAGACCACTGGAGAGCTGTTCTCCTGGTTGTGGACCATTCCCAGATATATCCCTGGGCTGGATTCCCTTTGCACTGGTCAGCAGCCTGCTCCCAAACTGGATCCAGTTCTGCTTGGTTTCCTTATATTCAGAGTATGAATTTGTGCCTGTGTTCTTTAGCTTGCTGTCCTTTGGCTAACTCGCTGCTCTTCAGCATCTGCTTGCTGTGTTAGAGCAGTGTTTGTGGAGACTGGGCTGCCCCATGTACAGGATGGTTTCTGTTGCTTCTGCTCAGTTGGAGTTCATCAGAACAATCAGTGGCCACTACGTGCCATGTCAGCAAGAGCATGCCATGACAGCATAGTTACCCTGTGAGTTCTTCTCCCTAGACAGCTTAGTGAAACTGTCCAGAGTTGTGATGTCACTTTGGTGATCCGCTTTGTCCAGTAAAGCCCTGTGGCAATTCTGGAAAGGGCTTTCTGTATGTATCTTCTTTCCTTTCTACATGGTGGTACCAGGGGTACTTTGGTCCTATTTCACACTGTGCTTTCAGGTTCAAAGATTATTTTCTCTGTTTACAGCTTAAAACAGTTTGCAGATTAGAATTGGAAGTTACAGACTGAGTAGTTTAATCCATAATTAAGTTATGGATTAAGTGTTATGTATGCTAATCTATTAAGCTGAAAGGATTTTAAAATATTCGAAAAACTTTTAGAAATTCTTCTATGCATTTTCTTCCCTGTGATCCTTGAACTGTTATGGGTGGAAGCAGATGAGAGGGCCAAGTTTTACTGTAAGAAAGCAAGCCTGTAAGTTTAAAATCTATTTTTAAAGTACATTACACCATTGCCTAACAGGAAGAGTTTCATGTTAAGTAGCTATTGTTGCCTTTATAAATACTACATATAGTTTACCAGAAACACTAAAGTTTTGAAAGAACGAGGACAGAGACAGTGTCACCCATGAAAGGGGGACAATTACAGGATACATTTTTTGAAAATACTAACCTAAAATTCAAAGGTGACATAGAGGCCCTATAACCCTTGAGTCTCTGAATTTCAATGGAAGCATTATGTTTCGTGATGGTCCTTCTAACAGGTCTGCTTCTTCTATGTAAAATGTATTTATGTATCAGGGAGTCAAATAGAGTTAGTTTTACACAGTACTGGCTGTGACCCCTCATTCCCATCAGCATCAGCTTGGTATATAACTTCTTGCTCTGACTTGTACAGGCACTCTACTCACCTCATCTATAGATGATCTTTACCTGCCTTGGTGATTTGTTCTAGTACTTAGTTTCAGGGTTCTCATTTTGCTACTTGCATCTTCGTCAAGCATAGGTTAAGTATGTTCTAGTTTAAATTGAAAAATTATAAAATCACTAACTGCTTATGACTCTTTTGAGTAATAAGGATAGTACATTCTAGTATAAATTTGCTCTTAATATCATTTAAAAGATCTTAAGTCTGTGGATATTGCCCTGGTTGTTCCGGGTAGCCATACCTTCCTGATAACGGGGAGGGAGTTGGTATTTTGGTGGCTGGAAAGATGGTGTGATGTGAGGTGGTCTTACTGACATAGAATACTGCTCCTGGGAGGTAAGTGATACCAAAGGTGGTGTCCATAACTGAGGTGAAGCCCTGCACTCGTGTACAGGTGCTTTGCGAGGTTTGAGGACATCCAGTTCCACATCAGCATGTCTTAACTGGGAGTTTCTCTGAAATGTTACGGACTGTGATCCAGGAATCTTCCTGTGATACTTGCAAAACCAATAAACCAATATTATCAGAACCACCCCAACAGTGATGCAAAGACTGCTTAGTAAGGCAAGTGGGGTCTTCCTAATTGTGGAGTCATTCTTGTCTTGAAGTATAGGCACAGTACTGTTGAAACACCCATCGAATGGCTTTGTAGTGGGAAAGCAGACTTCATTGTATGAAATGTTGAAAATTACATCAATTTTGTATTCTGGCAACATTGCTTGGACAAAGCGTGGGCTAACATACCCATCCGGCATTCTCAGCTTCTCTAGTGCTTCCTGGATTTCATCTTTTGCACACCACGTGGAAGATCTGTTGGCCCTTGTACACAACGAACTGTTATACCATGAGATTACTGTGGAGCCAGGTTTGAGAGCAGTCACCATGATGTCTTTGGGACTGCTGGAGTTCAAATAGCGGGAGAGCTTCTCCAGAAACAAACTAATCTAGAGTGGTAGCTGTTTTTTGTTCTAATGGTGTAAAGGTGACATGGTACACGTGTGGGTTTCAGAAGCTCAATGGTGAAGGATTCCCAGGCAGTCAGTCCTCCTGAATCTGTGGCAGACAGCACAAACACCTGAGGCGAATACTGGAAATCAATATCAAGGGGATAGCCATGCATGATTTGCTGAGATGTGTTAAACTGCAGCCAGCTTTCTGATCCCAATGGAGAGCCATCAGCTGGGATGATTTGTAGAGATAACAGAGTTGAGTTGCCATCTTCCTTATCGTAAAATGTGTTGTCAGGTATAGGGAAAAAAAATAGGCATCCAATAGTTGCTGTTAGGAATTTAATGGAGTGAACAACCTTTGGGGAAGTGTTTGCTTGCCCTTTAGAGAGGAGGGAGGAAAGGAAATAATTATGAGGAAAAAAATAGCTATCTGATACTGAATTATAGCAAAGAAATCTTGTCCTCCTCCTAGGATTATGGAGCATGTTGGCTAGAAGGGACCTCTGGAGGTCATCTAGCCAACCTTCTGCTCAAAGCAGAGCTGTAGCCAAGACTAAATGAGATCAAGCATGGCTTTGCCTAGCTGAGTCTTAAAATCTGAGGATGAAGGGACCCAAATTTCTCTGGGTGACCTGTTCCATTGCTGTTACCCCCAAGTGAAAAAATTTTCCTGGCATCTGAACCTTCTGAGATGCAGT